GGACTCGACGACGCGGAAGAATTGTTGCTCAAAGCGGTCGTCGGATGGTTTATACGGAAACCCAGGGGTGACGGAGACTCGGAGTGAGATTTATTGCGCTCATCGACTCTTTGATTGGAGGAGTGATGGAGTTTAGTGAGGGATCGGTGAAGACTAAGACTATTTGATTGCGAGGTCGACGGTATGGTCGACGCGGCGCTCGTCGTCTGTGCGAGCGATCCAAACGATTGCAGACCTATTGCGGGTGTGGGTGCGGGTGTGTGAAAGCCACAGCCGCACGGAATGTATGGCGAAGTGCACGACATGCTATGGTTGGCGCTCGCATTGCTCTGACAGTGGTTGTGTCCGCCGGCCAGCAACAGACTCTTCACGTCAAAGCCACCGCTTAAGCCAAGTTTGGTCTCACCGATCGAGTGATGGTTGTGGTGCTGAGAGGCCATCAATGCCTGGTCTAATAGGCTATGTTCGTGGCCGTGGGCTCGACTCGTCTCAATCGATGGGAAATAAGTGTCATTAAACGGATTGAGACCTAATGATGGGGTGAGCGGTGGGAAGAGAGATCGAGCGTGTGATGCGGCCGCCGCGTGAAAGCCCAGGTAATCCATAGGCGCCTGTATGTAAGGCATCGGAAACGGGTATCTGTCTGTTTGAGATATCGTTGATTTGATCATCAATTCTGAGCTCAACTAAAAAACTGATGCCACAAATGGTTAGGGGTTTACCTTTTTTCATGAGATGCTTTGGTTTGCGTCGGGGTTTGTATTTATAGTCGGGATGTTCTTTCATATGCATCTAAACAATCAATTATTACATATTTCACTCAATTGGAAATTCAATTATTTCTCATTCATCAACAATTTTGTGATTTAAATATAATTACATTTCTCAGTGAATACTAAACGTAATCAAAAATTTTATGTTTTGTAACTCATAAGAGTTTGTAAACTGCAATGAAATGCCAATTTAAATAGCATTAAATACGACTAACACTACATTATATTATTTGTTTATTCGTCTGTAAATTATATTTAAAAAGAGAGAGAGAGATTTGATTCAAAGGAATTGTATTTTGCATTAAATGTGTATAGATTTTACAATACATACGGCTCTCAAACGCTTTGCCTCTTCAATGAATGGTCTCTTATCGCCATCACTTTGGCATACAATAGGCGACACATTAAATGATTTTAAATTAATTTATTTATTCAATTGAATGGTAAGTCATATAAGAGGAAAAATTTTGTGGGCTTTATATGTGGTGTAAAATATTGAAAGCATACCTCAAA